TTTTTTTTTTTTTTTTTTTTTTGCTTTTGCTTTCATTGCAGACCAACTTAATAAAAACATTGGTAACTGATAGAATATAGAAAAAATACCACATAATAGATTCTGATTGTAAGTGGTCTAAACACATTTGAGTTTTGTGAAGACATATTTGTATTTGTGTTACTTTCCATTCTTTGACAAGGCAAGCGTTATTCATCAGCCTCTATTTACAGACAATCTTTCTCTATTTGTGCTGTTTCCTTGGCACTAAATTGCCTTTAAAACACATACTGTACTATGCAAGCAACAGTGCTGAAATAGTCAACAGGAGGCATTTGCTGCTGCTAGTGACAGCCCAGAAAAATCCTTAGCTTTCTGAGCCTGGGCATTTGGGTTTCTCTCTTTTCTTAACCCAGTTATATAACATATCCCTAAAGAGGAGCATGTACAGTCATTGAAATTGCTGTACATGTTCCTATTCCTATCAAGTGACTGGAACTCAGGGTACTTGTTTGTATCCACTCTTAAAAAACAACCTGTTCACATTATAAATTCTTATTTACCAATGAAGATTCTTCTGAAAGTTATCATTCAAATGTTTGAAGCTGCAAAGAGGTTTTTCATCAAGTTAAAACAGCTTTACCACGATGAATCAAGATTAGCAGATGCTTCAGCACCATGCTGAATGAGTTGCCGTGTTCATTCACCCTCACCAGTGAGAAGGCTGCAAGCACCCGAGGGGCCGGGTGGAGAGCAGCAGGCCCTCGCCTGGCACACTGAAGGCACGCTGGGAGCCTGATTTTTTAAATCAGCGACTGAGAAGTACTTGCGATTATTTGCTCGTGGTTCAGTTACACCTTTGATATCCAGACTGGTTATATTGCTTTAAATAGCAATTTTAGCAACTTTCAAGATCTCTACACTATCAAATTATCCAAAGCTATCAAAACTAGAGAATCTTAGAGATGAAATAAATCCTGGTAGGGAAAGATACTTAGCTACTAAGTCTTAGGCCTAAAATACTTGATTAAAGATCAAGACTGAGATATTTAACACACTTAAGTTTTCTTCTTGTTCAAAAATATTAGCAGTTAGAGGCACAAGGTTATAGAAAGTTTGATGGGAAATATTTATTTATATGTTGCCACCTGGCTATTTTTCACTAAGAAGAAATGATTCTACACAGTTAGTATGAAGTAAAAAGTAAAAGTAGTATTTACTTTTAACTCTGTTATTCTGGAAATGGAAGATATTTCCAGAAAGTTATTTTTATAATATTTTATGTCTACAAGGTGACTAAAATTTAAAAACAGGAGACAAAAATTAAAAATTAGTAACAGCCCGGCCAGGCGTGGCTCAGCGGTTAAGCGTTGACCTAGGATCCAGGTGATAGGGGTTCAATTCCTGGTCAGGGCACATGCCCAGGTTGTGGGCTCAATCAATGACTCTCTCATCATTGATGTTTCTATCTCTCTCTCTCCCTCCCTCTCCTTTCCTGTCCCTCTGAAATCAATAAATTTTTTTTTTAATTAGTTACAAATACAGTCCTTGCAATAATATTGGAAAATACCCAGATTTTAATTTTTGCAGCTTTGGAAGGCTAATTTGACTCTATAACACAGGAATCTTGAAAATTTTCCAAATCCTACAAAGGGAAAATTAATGGCATTCACCATCAAACTAAGAAAGCCCCTTGTAGGTAGGAGTAGACAGAGAATGCCAACCACATGTATTCCAACTTCAAAGTAAATGCTAATATTCTCTTCCTAAAATGCTGTTCTATGGTCTTCAACATCCAGAAGTGAGAATTTAGGTCTGCATAGTAATCAAATATCAAAATAAATATACCTCATCTTAGGTGAATGCTTTTTAATCAACTCCTTAAAAAAAAGGCCTGAATTTTGAACTTCTAATAAAACAATTCTATTGTTGTCATATAGCAGTTCATGCACTGAGCACTCAGACACACTACCATTAGTTTGTCAAATTAAGAAAACTATCCCATTTTAAAATCTCATGCATAGCACACAGCATCCCCATTTAGTGACATGCCAGAATAGAAGTGCAATGACACGTTATACAAAGGACAAACAATATGCAGTTTTCTTTTTCACTGCAAACCACAAAACTTACCCATTCTCACCATAAATCTTTTGAAAGAGTCTAAGAAATCAGAAAACCAAAAATTAAAAGTCATTTCTTCCAGTGTGTTATTTTTTTTAAATGTTCAACGTTTTTAACTTAAATAGTCTAACACGAGATGGACAAATCTCAAAAGGTTGCTTCTTCAGTCACATTCTTGATCATGTCTCAAATTCTCATTGATCTCCTATCTCAAGGAATTCATGTGAAGCAAGATAAAGTGTTTCCTGACTTAGCTTGAACTAACAAATCTAAAACAAAAAGCTTTCTGTTGCCAGGAACTAATAAAAAAGTTAGATTTGCATCTACTAATTTTATTCAACCTAATCACATTTGCCCATCCCAAAGTTCAACAAACCGAACATTCATCAAACATCAAGTTGCACAACACATAAATGTGTCCATTATTATAAAAATGGCCATAATTACATACAAGTAAAATTTAGCAGACAGCAAATAATATTCATGCATTTTAATAAAGTTTGCACTGAACTTTAAAACTATAAATTTAGAAAGTCACACACTCATAGTCCAAGAAACCTAGGTCAAAAACAAAAAATCAAAATCAAGTTAAATAAAATTTGCAATGCCATATTTTAAGGGAAATTTTTACACAAAAGACACACACTCTAAAATGAGAAACACATACAACCAAACTATAACCAGACTGTTTCAGAAACGCCTGGGCATTGAGAATAAAAGTCTGTAAATGTAATTGGAAAATATTTTCATGAAACACCATGTTTTGGAATAGTACCCCAGTCTTCCTTAAGGCCAAAGGCAAGGACTGTGTACAAACCTTCTTAAGCAGGCCTCAAGTAGGCAATTCAGAGACCTGCAAATATGGAATTGCACTTTTTTCACAAAATGTGCAATGGTTTCTCAAAGCAAAATAAATTTTTAGAGAATGCTTCAAAATGACTCATGACATGCAGTCGGACAATATGATGCCACTTTCTCACACAGGAAAAGTTAACACAAGACCATCTATCCATTACAAGCAAAATCCTTGCAGAAACACACTCTAACCTCTCAACCATCAGCCGTTTCCTGTGCCTAAGCCTGCTGGCCTCCCGGATGGCCTCCCACTTCTGTAGGTCTGCCTCACTGCAGGGGCCAGGGGTGAAACTGATGGGAGGCACAGGGGTTCCCAGGCTCCAGGACTGGATCTTACGAGTCAACATGTCATCTTTCTTCTGCCGATATGAAGGAACTAACACTCTACAGCTATTACTTTTTTCTTTGGATGGGCATGTCCTTTCAAGTACACAGAGAAACTTGGCTTGAATTTCTGGAGGGAGCATCCAGGGTTCTGGGAAAGGGACTGGTTGGTATCTATCTGGGGCCCCCGACAGAGGCACCTCTTTCTTCTGCGCTGGAATTCGGCGAACAATCATATCATCTTTCTCTAGGTCTGGAAGTACAAGTTCACCTTCTCTGCATTGCAGAACAATATCTCGCTCTATAGGGTCATCTCGCTCAGAAAACCTTCTGAAGTCTTCAAAAGCCTGGAGGACACACGGATTGGCATGGAAAGCCCCAGTCTTTCTGACAAAGAAATCATCATTCTCTAAGTCAGGATCGAGGGCTGACATCTCAAGGTCCCCTCTTCTATACCCTGGTGCATAAGATAGGTTCTTCCTGCGAGTTATGAGCCTTGGGCCAGCAGTGGGATCGATTTTGATATTTGTTTCAGAAGATAAGATGTCCTCAGAATATGTTTGGAGGGCCTGAAGTAATAAAAACGGACTGAAGCACAGAAAAGAAAAAGGAAGGGAGAATCTTATTAAGTTTATTAAGGAGAACAGATAATTAGGTAGCAGACCAACTAGCCATTATTGTTTTATTTTAGGGGGCATGGGAGGGACTCTTGTGTGGAAGAAACACAAGTATTTAATGCCATCACTTGTGACTTCCCTGGATACCACTTAAAGAAACAAGAGCAGAGTGTACATCTCAGGAAAGGTGGGCACCAAGTAGGCCGAGTGATGGGGCTAGAACTAGATAGAGGACACCTCCCTGAGATACACCACAACACTCACTCTCACCTCTTCCTCATTCCATGAGCCACAATGACCTCATTCTCTCTTTTTTTAAAAAAAATATTGTTATTGGTTTTTAGAGAGAGAGGAAGGGAGGAGAGAAAGAAATATCGATGTGAGAGCAAAATATGGATCAGCTTCGTCTTGCACATCCCCTACCAGGGATCGAGCCCACAACCCAGGCGTGTGCCCTGACCGGGAATTGAACCAGCAACCTTTCGGTGCACGGGATGACTCCCAACCAACTGGGCCACACTGGCCAGGGGTGACCTCATTCCCAACCTAGAGAAGCAGCAATGATCTTGGAAAGTTTTAATACATGAAGCACTGTATGCAGTAGACACTGGCAGGAAACAGACATTTAGAAACTAAAATGGCCTGGCCAGCAATAGCTTAGCAGTTGAGCATTGACCTATGATCTAGGAAATCATGGTTCGATTCCCGGTCAGGGCACATGCCTGGATTGCAGACTCGATCCCCAGGAGGGGGCGTGCAGGAGGCAGCTGATCAATGATTCTCTCATCATTGATGTTTCTATCTTTCTCTCTCCCTCTCCCTGAAATCAATAAAGATATATTTAATAAATAAAAAATAAAATGCTCTAAAGCTATATAAAAGACCCTGATGCCTCTTTTCTTTGCATTTTCCCACCAGACTTGCCTGTCGTAGCGTCCATCTGAAAGTTATGTCCTTTCTGTACATCTCCACACATAGCACAACTGTAAAACTAGGTCTACTTTCCCAAAGGCCTTTTAGAAATGGTTTTCCAAAAGAACTGACTATGCCACATGTAACTCTACACTATCTTACGCATTATTATGCTAATGAAGAACATTTAATCCTACAGACTTCCAAGCGTACATGCCTGCACGAAAGCAATATGTTATACATTATGCTTTTATACTAAATATTAAGTGAGTACAGCTTCATGATTCAACACATCCTGGACAGAGGTTAATGTAGCCGCAGAAGCTGGCACGGGTGTTGCATGCCAGCCTCAAAGCAGGAAGGCTCATGCAGGCAGGTACACCTGGGCTCGTCCGAAGCGCCACTGGTTCTCCTGGCTGCATGGGCGTCCCATGTGCTCCTGGCCCTCTTGGTAGCTAGTTCCATCAAGAGTGACCGTCTTTGGCAGGTGCTGTCTAGCCTACGCTCTGCTTTCTGCATCCTACTAAAAATGGTAGAGCTTCTGTCAGAGCCTGAATCATTATCTTCAAAGTCTGGCTTCGTTCTACTGTGGAACAAGACAGAGAAAGGAAGGAGAGGGAAAAAGAAAAATATAACTAAATAGAGTCAAGCTACGACTATGTATAGAAGAGGACTTGTTAAGATGCAGATCCCAAAGTTTACATTTAAATGGCTTTTTTTTTCTCTCCCCAATTACAGAGGTTCTGTGGATATTGGAGCAAAATAAATCTGGCTTTTTTTTAAAAAGCACACAAAGAACACATCCAGCCAGGGCACTGAGTGAACACTGGACTGACAGAAACAGGTGTAAAGACGAACCTGAATCCCTGAAACTCCTTATACCATGGTTTGTAAGTTTCCCTTTTTATTCTTTTCCAGTTCACATCTTCTGGGATCCAACATTTGGGAAGAAACTGGTCAAAAGTGTTCCCTGGGTTTGGCATGATGGGGCTTAGCTTTCGCACATAAAGATCATCCTTGACAATGTTGGGGACGCTTGTCTTCTCTTCGTCTTCCTCCAGGTAACAAAAGGAGGTTGAAGTTGTCCAGTTCTCCACGCTTGCGCCCCAAGTCCTCCTCTCGTTACTGTTCAAAACATCCAACCAGTTAAGATACCGTATGATCAGCTTGTGACACAGAACACAAAAGGCATGCTTTCTGGCTCAGAGCTTACACCACTGTGAATGAAGCAAATTAGTTTCCATTCTCATCGTTACAGCTCCTAGAACGAAGTTAAGGCATTGTCACAGCATCTCGTTTTAATCAGAGAAGAGCTTGATCCACGAGGGTCAATGATAATAACAGGTGTTAAAAGAGACAAACTGCAAATAATTTGGGGTGTTAGTTTATGTACTGAAATCAACAGAATAGACATTCGGTCCCAGGAGAAATTTTTCTGACCCTGTCAGTTCGTATACCCCGGAAGCTACTGGGTGGGCAGGAGAAAATATTTGTGAACAAGAGTTAGGAGAGAGTTTTTGAGATGAAACTCTCCGGCCTCTTTTCCACTTGGAATCTAAGGTTGGCTAAGTCATCCAAAACTACATCAGGCAGCCTCCACTCATCCTCGGGGTCCGATCCACTTTCACAACCGTATGCCTCCTCCCGAGAGGAAGCTGGCTTTGAAAAGTCGCACTCTGCTCTGCTAACTTGATAAGAAATTAAAGGATTATTTCAGTGTCCACTGAGACCAATCAGCGG